TACGATGCTCCACTGCCTTGTGGGTTAGACCATTAGGTCAAAGGCTCGGAGTATGGCCCCCTAAGAAAACCGTCTGCTTCGGTTTGGGCATCCGGGCAGTATCGCAGCCCACACACAATTAATGAACTGAACTGTCTATGATCATGGAAACTAATTCTCTTGCTTCGAGGAACATTCAAATATTATCATTGCTATTATTATTATTAATATTATTATAATTTACTACGACATCATTCACCCACTTTTATTCCTACTCTGTCTATAATTATTTTTTCGACTTACACAGCGGCTCGTCTTTGCTGGAAATTCGACATACCTCCGGCTCTTTTTAAAGATGTTGGTGACTTTCTGACTAAGGAACTGACGACGTTGTTTACAAAGTTTTGGGAGCTAGAGAGTGTACCAACGTCATGGAATGAGTCGATAGTTGTCCCTATCTTTAAAAAGGGTTCACGTCGTTCCTGCAACAACTATCGGGGATAAGTCTACTTCCGATTGCGTTCAAGCTATTGGCTTTCGTCATACTTCGTAGGTTATTCAAAACCCGAGAAAGATTGACTCGCCAGAAGCAGGCTGGTTTTCGTTCTGGTCGAGGATGTATCGATCATATCTTCACCCTCCGCCAAGTGTTAGAACACCGCCATACTTATCAAAGGCCAACAATCGTAGTGTTTCCTGACATCAGGGCTGCCTTCGATTCGTTGGATAGGACTGTTCTTTGGGATTGTCTATTGAAGAAGGGTGTGCCTGAGAAGTTTATTAACATCCTAAAGGCCTTATATACAAACACCTCAGGCACAGTGAGAGCATACAACCACCTCTCTCCATTGTTCCATTCGAGCAGTGGGGTTAGACAGGGTTGTCCAATCTCACCATTCCTCTTCAACTTTGCCATCGATGACATTTTGGAAACAGCTCTGATGGGTGTAAGTAATGGCGGTGTGGATCTGTTGCCTGTAGAAAGACTTCTCGACCTTGAGTATGCGGACGATATTGTCTTACTGTGCGATAATGCCCAAGCCATGCAATCCGCACTTAATCAGTTGGCAATCAATGTCCGTAGGTATGGTATGTGCTTCGCACCTCCGAAGTGCAAAGTACTTTTACAAGACTGGCAGGATTCTAATCCTGTACTCACGCTGGATGGTGAGCAGATAGAAGTAGTCGGGAATTTTGTGTATCTAGGTAGCTGCATAAGTGCTGGTGGTGGTGTGAGCGAAGAGATCAATGCACGTATAGTGAAAACCAGAGCGGCTTATGCCAATCTGGGACATCTTCGGCGCCTTCGTGATGTTAGTCTGGCTGTAAATGGCCGGATTTACAACGCGTCGGTGAGAGCAGTTTTTCTCTATGCTTGTGAAACCTGGCCTCTCCGAGTTGAGGATGTTAGACGACTCTCTGTGTTTGATCATCGCTGTCTTCGAAGGATTGCTGACATCCAGTGGCAACACCATGTTAGTAATGCAGAGGTTCGGCATCGTGTGTTCGAGCACAGAGACGATAATGCAATTGGTGTCACCATCTTGAAACACCGACTTCGGTGGCTTGGACATGTTCTATGAATGTCGTCCCAGAGAATTCCACGTCGTGCATTATTTGCCTACTCTGGGACTGGTTGAAGAAAGCGGAGAGGTGGTCATTATATGACATGGTGTCGTGATATGAAAGAAATCTGCAAAGGACTGGCTTGTGTCGGTCCTTCACGACTCCCTGGTTGGAGTCCGAGAGATGGCGCTACACAGTGGCTAGAGACTTTATCAGATATGGCTCAGAATAGAAGCCAGTGGCGATCCTGCTGTAACTTTTACTTTCTTTATAAAGTAGTTGTAACTTCCTTAACTGAAAGATTGGTTCTGATTGTACCATTCTGTTCCCCTACTATTGCGATTATTATTATTACACTACCTTACACCAATCTCTTCGTTATTATTCTTTCTCTTCTTTTTCTTTTCCCTCCACTTAAATTCTCATTGTTTTGTGTGGCGCATTCTTGTACCAATATTTATGTGTTCAAATAAAGAAATAAGCAATTTCCGGCCTCGGTTCATAATATGTACTACACTTCACTGATCACTGGTGGGTGCTAATGAATTCAAAATTTCACTAGAGTTAATAGATATTATTTTGAGAGTAACTTTGTCTAGATTGATACGTGTAGTTTTGAGATTTGCCGACGAAGAGAATTTAACAACGAAAATGCTTTTGTATTTGGCTATTGCAGCTATTGTTTCGTACCAAATTTTCATTCGAGAAGAATTACATAAATGTCAAAATGAATCCTATAAAATATTTACTCAGGCTTTTTCTCCCCTAAGTTCGCGTTGTAGCTCCAATCACCTTTGAATAAGGCTAGATATTCGTAGAAACTGACAGCACTTTAAATCTAATATTAAAGCGTTTCTGAACAATTTGTGTCTATTACGATTAAGGGCTCGTCTTTAAGAATGAATGGTTACCAGAGTCAACCTTGTAGAATCTCAATTACATCAATGCTAGGATACTAATCTCAGCTTGAAAGGTCTTTCAAACTTCGTCATATTAATTAAACGACTAAGCCAATAGCTACTTAAGTAATCAGTTGGTTAATATTAGGAAAACAAACTAAGTAAAGAGACAGAGACGCTGTAAAAAGAAAGACGTCAAATTACGATTCACCTCATTACTCAAACACTTTAGTACTCCATCATCCCTCGACAGGGAATGTTTGGTGGACTGAAATCTGAATGTTCTTTTGTTACCCTGGCTTCCTAAGTCTAAATAAAGTATAGGAAGCTTCTAAGTATCCAAATATGGGACATTACTCTGTTTAAACATCAGCAACAATACTATTGCTGAGTTGATGTGCCTGTTTATACTCGAGAAACCGTGTACACGCCAGTATCAACTATACTCAACAAAACTTCGAAACATACGATAGCAACAGTTCTGTCAGCTTGACTTCTGATATAAAATTCTCTACAAGAAACCTGTTATGAGTTCCACCAAGAGACTACCAGCAATAAACACCAAAATGCATACAAAAATAATATCTCTGTTTTTGCTAGAGTGACAAAGCAGCAGGACCGAAAAACATTCCAGCAAAGGCACTAAAAGCAGACGTAGTGGCAACTGCAAGGATACTCCACATCCTCTTCAATAAGATTTGGGATGAGGAACAAGTACCAAAAGACTGGAAAGAAGGACTTCTGATCAAAATACTGAAGAAAGGCGATCTCAGCAAGTGTGATAACTACAGGGGCATCACTCTTCTCTCAATACCAGGAAATGTCTCCAACAGGGTATTGTTAAACGGGATGAAGGACTGCGTAGACGCCCAACTTCGCGACCAACAGGCAGGAATTCATCACTCTACATCAACTTCATTGACTACGAAAAAGCATTTGATAGAGTGGACAGAACAACACTATGGAAACTTCTTCGATACTACGGCGTGCCTCAGAAGATAGTCAATATCATACAGAACTCATATGATGGATTACACTGCAAAATCGTGCATGGAGAACAGTTGACAAAGTCGTTCGAGGTAAAGACCGATGTCAGGCAAGGTTGCTTACTCTCACCCTTTCTCTTTCTCCTGGTGATCGACTGGATCATGAAGACGTCAACATCTGAAGGGAAGCACGGGATACAGTGGACATCTAGGATGCAGTTGTGCGATCTAGGCTTCGCAGATGATCTGGCCCTTCTATCCTAAACGCAACGACAAATGCAGGAGAAGGCGACCAGTGTAGCGGCAGCCTCAGCAACAGTAGGTCTCAATATACACAAAGAGAAAAGCAAGATTCTCCGATACAACACAGAATGCACCAATCCAATCACAATTGACGGAGAAGATTTGGAAGATGTAAAAACCTTTACGTATTTGAGCAGCATCATTGATGAACAGGGTGGATCTGATGCAGATGTGAAGGCGCGGATCGGCAAAGCAAGAGCAGCATATTTACAACTGAGGAACATCTGGAACTCAAAGCAACTGTCAACCAACACCAAGGTCAGGATTTTCAATACAAATGTCAAGACAGTTCTACTGTATGGGGCAGAAACCTGGAGAACTACGAAAGCCATCATCCAGAAAATACAGGTGTTTATTAATAGTTGTCTACGCGAAATAGTTCGGATCCGTTGGCCGGACACTATTAGCAACAACCTACTGTGGGAGAGAACAAACCAGATCCCAGTGGAGGAAGAAATCAGAAAGAAGCGCTGGAAGTGGATAGGACCCACATTGGGGAAAGCACGCAACTGCGTCACAAGACAAGCCTTCACATGGAATCCTGAAGGCCAAAGGAAAAGAGGAAGATCAAAAAACACAATACGCCGGGGAATTGAAATAGATATGAGAAGAATGAACAACAATTGGGTCGAAATAAAAAGGAAGGCTCAGGATAAAATGGGATGGCGAACGCTGGTCGGCGGCCTATGATTCATTGGGAGTAACAGGCGTAAGTAAGTTACGGATGAGTGGCATACCGTCGCTTGAAGCACAATAAAACGATCATTACGAAGGTTATCTTTAAATCTCATTCTTCAATAAGAATTTTCATACTTAAGAACTGACAGATCAAACTGGTTGCTTTAACGCAAAAGCTCTAACGGTAATGTAAACCAGTATTGTGCGGCAGTAAGTCTGTAAAGTTATAGAATCGCCGGTTTCCTTTTTGAGAAGATTCAAAATACTAGTGAAACCTGAAAGTGGAGTCTTTAGCAAGCAACTAATACAACCGAACTTTCCAACTGTCATTGTAATGTAGGTATAACATAATTAATGTGCTTTAGTGTTGACTGACTCCATTTCGTAAAAAATTGTTAGTAAAACCAGAAATATGTCGTTTAGTTTGCTGTATATTAATGATCGCTCATCAGCGAGCAACGAAATCTGCGTAGGTGTACCAGTCCTAAGACCAGGATCTCAGGCTATATTACACCGATTCAACATACGGAATGCTCATATCAGTAACCTCTGTGATATATACACTGAAAATTTACTCAAGAAAAGACTGACGTGTTTAGTACTTTTATTTCCTTAACAGAGTAATAACAGAAGATTTTAAAAGTATAAAATAAATTAAATTACGTTTCTAAATAGAATATACGACAAGAGTCTTACAAACAGATATCTCGTTGTTTTTCTTGTCATCTATAAAAAAAGAAAAAGAAATGATAATTTTGCTATTACAGTAATGATGGTTTACAGTCAAACTCCGTAACTGGATGATATTTAGGCCTCATAACACTACTTCACACTTTTTTACCGAAAGTTAAAATTGCCTGAATTTTGAGTGTGGTTCAGAGCCGATTACACACATATCAAATTGGTCAATAAGTAGCACTAGTTATAATTATAGTTCATAACAGAAATGAGCTGATAACTGTAGAGAAGTTTGATTAACCACTTCCTTTCCATTAGTGCTTACCGACCACATCCTAACCAAATGGTATGTATGTCTGGATATCAGACATAATTAACATCGGTGCAAGTTGTCAAGCCACATCAGCATAGTCGGCTAGAACTATCAAGAATGCCAAAGTAGTAGTAAAATATATTGGGTAGACAGATGGATATATAACCACTAAAAAGATACGTACACGGGAATTTGATAAACATCAATTGAAATTAGGTTGTATGTTTAATGTCTGTATAAAAATTAGATTAGCTATTTTTTCATTATTTGATCAAGTTTGTTTAAAAAAGCAGTAACCAATCGACTTTACGCTGTTCTAATTATAACACCCTCCACCATAAATGATATCCTAATAACAAATTTGAAAGAACGTCGTTGTGGTTCAGACACGTTTTCAGCACAAAGAAAAATCAACTTTGACTATGCTAGCATTATTTCACCAGTCAAAGGGCTTGATTACATAAATTGCGACTGCCCTTTATGTGTCGTTGAAAATTATTTATTAGCATAAATATGAATAATGCCAACATATCAAGATTTTTCAAAGACTGTGTACGACGGACCTCAAGAGCTGTCTCATAAGCACTATGGTCATGATCCTGAGTTGCCAAAACAACTAATAATCTGATTTTTGGTTTCAGATAACTCAAGAAAAAATGTCCTCCCATGATATAGAAATCTAGGAAGTGATAACTGTCCACGCATCTCGAACAATACTCAAGATTCTCTTGTTCATTTTCGAATCCCTTTGTCACTACTTATTCCACCTATTCTCTTATGATTTTATCCACACCCACCACCAATGCTAACGATTCGAGTCCACGAAATGCTATTCCTGGCCTCTTAAAAGCGCATGTTGGGGCTTTCAACGTTACAACCTTACGTCAAAACAGATTTCATTAGCTAGAACTACAGAATATCGCGCTGTCTTTGAAACCCACATACAGGATTTAATGGTAGTCATTCACTTGACCCCACCTAGTCAGAATAAAGAAAGGCCATGATCTACTATTTGTGTGTCTGGAGACTCGACCGGTACTTCTTGTGACCTTGCTAGCGTTTGGTGTATATCATAGAGTTCCAAAACAGAATAGGTTCTCCTGGTCTAGATTCCAAGACAATCGCTTATGAACAAGGAAAGACAAGGGTACACACTATTGTCTCTGCTTAGGATCCCACCGACTGGGGCTAAGATGAAGATGAGTTTCACAGAAAACTTTCTGCTCTCTTTCAAAAAATCAAACGAACAGTCACAGTAATCATAACAGGTGATTATAATGGCTATATCTTAACCAAATCATAGAGCGATCACGTGGATTCTAAGTGTCCCAACTCAGCGAACAGATAACAGTATTTTCGGAAGCCAATATACCAAGACAACTGTTAAGTCCTAACAACCATAAACTTTAAACGAAAAGAAACAGCGACTGACACGGCAACACCACGATACGACCAACGATGAATGCACGTAGACAATCTTGTCATCAGCCATCTTTGGAAGCTCGAGCACATGCTTAGATCCTGATCACATTTCAGAGTGAGGACGCGTTTGCGTCTCACTGGATGCAAAAATGCCACAGCAATAAGATCATTTAGAATTCAACTAAACGACGAATAAATCAAGAATCCTTCATGAAAAACTAGAGCAATTAGTCAACTATTAGCGTACTGTTCACCCCTCTGTAGGCTGGCATGATATTTAAACAAATTCGGAGACAATAGCGATATCTAGTAGCCGATTATAAGCCACATCACTTAACATCAACTATTGTTTAGGATAATAATATGGAGTACAACAAAGTAGTCTACACGTCTTGGTTTGCTCATCCCTATATTTCTTACAAACTTTTTTACACCAGCTAACACCACACTTCACAATAGGTGCTTGAGCACATGCAATACACCCCCTAACCACATCAGTTGAAGATTCACTGTCTCATCAACCGATGTGTCATCCTAACTAAGTGTCCCAGGTTTAATGTCAGCATTAATTGACGTTTCTAACATACGCCAGCATTGCTTTGGGCAGTTGAGTGAGATGAAAGTTATTGTAGAAATGATTCTAAACTATGTGTACATAGAACTCCATACACATTTAAGGAGAAATAAGATAAATTTGCATTTTATTTGAGGGTAAGCAAGTGAGTCATAAAGTTCCGAATCAGAGAACAAACGGAACAAACTTGGGTTTGAGACAGTCAGTTGTGTTGGTTGTGAAGGCTTTTAAAATTGTAAATCAACTGGTATTTCAATTAATCTTGAAAGATAATTGGATGCGCACACAAATAGCCTGTCAATCGTTAGTCTTCTCTAGGAAAAAATTTGAACCATTCGCACCATGTTCTTCACTATTCGGTAGAGCACATGTAAAAGTATAGTCATGTGATTAATCACCATCATGATATTAGTACACCATTTCAGGGACTCTTTCACATGTTGACTGATTTTTTTACATGAGATGTTTTAGGAATGTGACTTTACATATAACTGCCTCTTACATCTGCACAAGTTCAATTCACAGAGGAACGGACCAAGCTGGAGATATCATTACGTAATGCACAAATCGTTTTGCAGAAATTTGAATATGAAACAAGAAATCGGTTCAGTAAAAGGTTTTCTTTTAAATGGCTTTCCTCTCAAAACCATACAACTTCAAACATATACTTTTTCACAATAATAAAGTACATGTTTACTAATAATAATTTATTGGTCACGGTAACATAAGCAAAATAAACAAAAAATACCCCTTGATTCATGAAACCATTGAAGCAGAATACCAAGGAGATAGATTTTAGCTGATTATATGGGACTATTGAGACTATACACTTTTGCATCACTGACTGAACTTAGTTGGACAATCACTGAAAACCAGGAAGTACTGAACAACTGTTTCATCCTAGTATGGAACAACTGATCACTGTGGGTATGCACGACTGTACCAGGGATCGGGCTCATGACTTCCAGACCACTGAGTTGACATCCACCGTTTTGCATTTCTAACTCTGGTCAATTTGCAACATTGAGCGGTAATCGCTCAAAAAAGACCTCTTTGCTGAACCACATACTTGTTCAAGTGACTTTTATCGTTGAGTTATCAAGATACATAGTCTTGTTTGAACATAAATCAATTCAGCCACCAAAGTATCCACATTTTCTCATACTACATCTAATAGTTTTTACCATCACAATGGTGGCTTAAATATAGCTTTTTGTCATTAGTATTAGTTTTATAATTTTATCTACCGTATTAATAACAGGTTACGTAAGTTCATCATTGTAGATTACATAACTACCTAACTCCCAATTATTTCGTTCCTTTACAAAGTAGGGTTGTATGAACACAAGAGGTAGTTACAATTGTTCTTCACCAGCAAACTACATGACCATGCGCATGTTACATACGTGTTACATTCTATCTGTAGAAAAAATTAGTGCATATGTGGATGATTCAGAGGATGTGAAATAAAATGAATTTATTTCATTTCTACAGTGTTAATTTTCCTTTCCGAAATTTAGTCAAGACAACAAAGTGTACGGGAATATAATAATAATAATAATATTAATGATAATAGTAGTAATAATAATAGTAGTATTAATAATAATAGTAGTAATAATAATAACAGTAGTAATAATAATAGTAGTAGTAGTAATAATAATAGTAATAATAGTAGTAATGATAATAATAGTAGTAGTAATAATAATAGTAATAATAGTAGTAGTAGTAGTAGCAATAATAAGAACAATAAAAATGGTAGTAATAATAACAATGATAGTGGTAATTTTAATAATAATAATAACAATGATGGTAATAATAATGATAATGATAACGATTACTATAACAATAACAACAATAATAATAATGATAACAGCAATAGTAATGATAATAATAGTAATAACAATAATAATGATGGTGGTAATAATATAAATAACAGGAATAATAATAATAGTAGTTGTTATAATGATAATAATTATAATAACAACAATAATCAGTCAGTCAGCTACAACGTAGGAACAGGCACATATGTGCATCGGTCCAGGTTGCCATAACGCATCAGCACAACAAGATGAACACCGGATTCATAGCATGTAAGAGAAAGATTGCATATAGAGATATAGTACAAGAAGAAAGAATTGGTTCGTAGAAAGAAAGATATGAAGTGATTTTAATCTCTTAGTTTAAGGGAAGACAGGGAGTGTATACACCGACGCCATTGTGATCGATTCTGAGCCATGTCACCAAGAGTCTCCAACCATTGGTTAAGATAGTCACGCGGACCTCAACCAAGTAGTCTGCATCTCCCAACATGGCTCAGACTAGAAGTTAGTGACTTCAAGCACTGATGCCACGTTTTGGTTTGGCCGCCCCTAATTCTCTTCCAACCATTTCCAAAACCGGATAGCATTGCACGTCGTGGTAGTCGGTGTTCAGGCATACGTAATACGTGGCCCAACCATCTCAGTCGATGAAGATTCATAACCTCATCAACTGATTTACCATCCTTCCCTAATACCCTGCGTCTAACCTCACTATTGCTTACCCGGTGTTCCCAACAGACGCCAGTAATATTTCTAAGGCATCTGTGGTCAAATACTAGTAGCTTACGGGTGTCTTCTACTCTTAAAGGCCATGTTTCGCTGCCGTAAAGTAAGACAGAACGGACTGCCGCGCAGTATAATCTTCCTTTTATTGATATACGGATATCTCGCCTTCGCCATAGGTGACGCAAGTTGGAAAAAGCCAAACGAGCTTTTCCAATCCGTGCTGAGATTTCATCCGATACCAACCCATTAGGGCTGATCAGACTTCCAAGATAAGTGAAGTTGTCAACGCGTTCGACTACTTCACTCCCTATCCTTAGTTCAGGTGTTGATGCAGACCAGTCCTGAAGCAACAACTTGCATTTAGAGGGAGAGAAGCGCATTCCAAACATCCTGGCATTGTTGCTCAGTGCTACCAGAAGACTCTGCATTTTGTCAGTGTCTTCACCAAACAGGACTAAATCATCTGCGTATTTTAAATCGATAAGTAGACCTCCTGGAAGGAGATCAATAGCTGAGAATTCAGTAGACGAGAATGTTACTTCCACCAATAAGTCTATGATGAAGTTAAACCAAAATAGAGAAAGTGGACAGCCTTGACAGATGCCGCTTGAGGTTGCAAAAGCAGATGACAGTTCGCCATAAACTCTCACTCGACTAGTAGTGTTCGAGTAAAGAGCCTTTACAAGGTTTATGTACTTCTGGGGTACGCCTTTCAATGACAGACACTGCCACAGAATCTCGCGGTCTACGGAGTCAAATTCTGCTTTTAAGTCGAGAAAGACCACCATTGTCGGACGCCGATAAGTATGCCTGTGTTCTAGAATCTGACGAATGGTGAATATGTGGTCGATGCAGCCACGACCAGGTCTAAAGCCAGCTTGGTTCTCTCGTGTTTGCAGTTCACGAGTCTTAGTTAGGCGTCTGATAATTATCGAGGCTAGTATTTTAGATACTATATTAGTTAAACTAATCCCTCTATGATTGTCACAGGATGATTTTGACCCTTTCTTATATATTGGGACGATAAGTGATTGTGACCAGTTAGATGGAATAACATCTAACTCCCAGATTTTAGCTAAAATATTAGTCAACCTAATCGCTAAAATTGGACCACCATCCTTAAAGATTTCTGGAGCCAATCCATCTGGACCAGCTGCCCTTCCTCGTTTCAGATTAAATATAGCTTTTTGAACTTCAGCAAGAGTTGGGGGACCTACTTCAATGTTCCATCCACAATGTCTGGGAGTGGAGGGTAGTTGTAGAGTAGCTGAAGGCCAGCTGAACTGTTCCGCCCATCGTTCTAAACGCCTGGACTGGGAGCAGATGAGTGCATCGTCTTTTTCCGATATAATCTCACTTACACTTGACTTATTAATTCCAGTTTCTTTTATTAGTCTGTAAAGCTGTCTTGTGTTCCCTATAGTCGCCGCCTTTTCCATCTCTTTTCCTTTCGTTGCCCACCACTGCTCACGGTCGTTTCTTAGACTTTTTCTTAACCTAGATCTGATTTGTTGTCGCTCTTCATCATGTTCAGAACCTGATGGGACGAGTTTGCGAGAATCCATCAGTGTGATAGACTTTGAAGAAATCCACTGGTTCTTTGAAACTCTGTGGTTTAAGTCGCTAATAGATGTCACTGCTGTTTCCACAGCTGCTTGTATAGCGTTCCAAGCAACATCTGGGTCAGCCTCGTCTTCAGAACTGCCTAACCGTGACCTCAGTTGTTCCTGAATCTACTTTGGGTTTCCTCGCTACTCAGTTCGGTTCTAATGGGTCTTTTTACTGTGGCCTTTTTGCGTCCAGTGAGGCGCAAGCAGATGCGTGCCCGTATTAGGGCGTGGTCGGAGTCCAAGTAGGTACTCCAGAATGAGCGACAATCTTGTACCGACCCTCTCCAACGATGACTGATGGCAATATGGTCTATTTGAGTCCATCATCGGTTTGGTGCAGGCGGTCGCCAGGTTAGACGATGTCTCTCTTTATGCTTAAACTTTGTGTTTGCTAAAAATAAGCGATTGTCTGAGCATAGTTGCAGCAGACGGTCACCATTATCTGTTCGCTGTGCCGGAATGCTAAAATATCCACCTAAATGCCTTTCTGTTTGCTTTAAGCCACCTATCTGAGCATTAAAGTCACCCCTACGAGTACTATGTCTGAGCGTTTAGCTTTCTGAAGAAGTTCGGACAGTTTTCTGTAAAATTCATCTTTCACATCATCCGAGCTGCAGTCAGTGGGAGCGTAGGCAGAAACGACAAAAAGGCAACGACGTGTGTCCCTATCCTCCCGAGTTTTTACGGAGCCGTTTAGCCGAACAGCAGATGAACGACTGTTGACGGGGATCCACTCTAACAGTGCTTGTTCCGCCCTCATGCTTAGTTCTACGCCTACACCTGCCGGCCCACGAGAACTGGCCATCGGGTCACCAGATACACGAAGGGTGTATCTCGTTGGCTCTCCGTTTTGCCGAGGTGAGGTCAAGTGAATGACCACACTGGAATCCTGTATGCGTGTTTCGGAGACACAGCATACATCAATGGAAAGAGACTCTAGGGTTTTAGCCAAGGAAGCCTGCTGACCGATTTGACATAGAGTGCGTACGTTGAAAGCTCCAATGTGTAGTTTGGAGCGAGGTTTCAGTAGACCTGGGACAGTATTTTGCGCACTAGAATCGTTGGCTATGGTGACACTTGAGGAGGAAGCCGAAGGAGGAGGTTTAGGGTTGAAAGTCGATGTAGGAGGAATAATAGGAATTGAAGAGGAAGGTTGATTATGAATACAGTGGTCTTGCGTGCTGTTAGGGGTATGAGGGCGGTTATCACTTCCCGGTTGCCCACACCGTGGAAGGGTTCTTCTGGAGGTACGTGAAAAGGAAATTGGATTAGAAGTGGTCTCAGTGACCTGAGAGCGTGACCGCAGTGCCCAAGGGACAACTGCTTGAGGCCGGTCGCGCACGGCCTTTTCGTGGGAGGTTTTTGACGTGTTAGCTCCGTTCTTCAAAAGGGCCTTACCGCCGGAGACGGAAATCCGTGAGGTAAGGTGAGGTGTGACATTTTTAGGGTCGACCTATTCTAGCCCCACCCCTCCTTGTGGGAAGGCAGCATCGCTGTCATGCTGGTTGTCTGAAGGAAACACCTTACTGCTGTCACACCTCTGTACAGTCAGCAGTACGACTTTGCCTTCGGACCTTGGGTTTGTTGCTTTTAGTCATACCGCTCTTCAACCGACCTGTCTGACATGGTAGGACCTTGAGGAACGGTTGTTCCAGCCAGTATAGCTCGGTTGCTTCATCACGATAGGCAAGCCCGACCACCACGTCAAGGTAGCAACAACGGTCGGGAACAACAATAATAATGATAATAATAGTAACACTAATAATAGCAATAATAATGATGGTAATAAGAGTAATGATAATAATAGTAATAATAACAACAATAACATTAATGACAATAAGAAGAAGAAGAAAAAAAAAGAAAAATGACAACAATAATAATAATAATGTCAGTATATTGGGTAGTGATTTATTTCTTGCTATGAAAGCAAGATGATGTCACTGATTTGACTGAAGGAAGGATTTGACAGACCAGTCGTTGAGCTGTAACATCAGCAGCATCTTTTCAGTTACTAGAGTCGTACCGAACAAACTAAGGGACCATTACTGAAGTAATATTATATCACGCTATGAGTTGATATTTCCTCACACGAATGATTCAGAGTTCCTTTCTAACAAACTATTATACTAGACAGTTTTTCTGAACAGTATGTGATATTTCGCTATTCATTCTTTAAACGACACTACGTGTAGGAAACCATCAAAAGTAACATGCATTTAATTTAACATATTTGAATATGTCAGTGAAATTCATAGGTACATCATATGACTCAAGGTGCCAGACATATAACTTTTACTGTGATAAATTGATTTTTTACCTGCCCAGTACTTACTAAATATGAAAGTGAGAACGCATGCTTCTTTTGCAGAGAAATATTTCACGTCTTTGGTTTTGGATTATTTAAACCTTGTACAACTGCAGTTGCATATGTATCATTTAAGAAACTGATACTGATTTTAAGAATAAAAAAACCCAACCAATTGTAAGAAACTTATTAAAATCTAAATATGTGTAAACTTACAGCAGATATGTGCGTACTGCAAGGATTTAGAAAATTAAGAGGGATATGGCTGGTTTCCATGATGACCTGGACCATAATTTTGCTGTGGCATTCCTGGTTGCGGAAAATAACCTGTTTGGTGAGAGCCTCCAGGTTGAGAGAATGAATTTGATTGTGGAAACAAACCAGGATTAGGACAGACTGCAGGTTGTTGTGGCATCATTGAAGCTTGTTGCATGGGGTTGAAAGGCTGTGCAGGTGGATATTGTGGTGTCATGGGATTGGGGTAAAGTGGGTTGTGTTTATGATAACCACCTCCAATATTTTGTCCACCTGGTCCATATCCTCCTGTCATCCCATGCTTATAAAATAAAAAAGATTAATATACAAAACGTTAGGAACAACTTTAGAGAAAAGTATTCTAATAAATAATTATATAAGTTTTTAAGTGATGGTAGAAGACAGATTGTTATATCTCGATGAGAATAAAGGATGGTAACTGTTGGAATCTATTTCTGGACTAATACTATACATATATTTTTATCGTATAATTGTTAAGTAACTAGACTATTCATATTCATGTTCCTCTTATTATAGGCTTTATTTTGACCCATAAACTATTATTATACGTTTTATCATTCTTGAGTTTTGCCCAGTCAATTAATGACAAGCCCCCACATTCACAACCACTTTTGGCTAGATCTTGTACAAATGTTATTTTCTATTTTATGGTACGATGTGGTCTGTTTGGTTTGTATATAAACCCAGTATGTTTAAAATACGTTATTCATATCACAGAGACTGAGATTGGTGTTCCGGACTTAACAGGCAGGGCTAGGCAGGAAGCAGGACCGACAAAAACTCTATACTGCTCGTACGGGTTCACGCGTCATTGGTCCGGTCGACAAATCACCGTTCTCTAATTGGCAATACCATTACGTTATTTATTAATAGGGTACAAGGTCAAAGATCATTTAAACCGAAAACACTCATTAATAATTTGTAATTAATTTTATGTTCGTTCAAGCTGACTCATGGCAAATTTGTTTTGTATTAACCTTATTCTCTGATTAGTTAAGTAAAAGGCAAAAGAAATAGTGATGTCTTTACGATCTAAATTTATTCAATCACACAAGTAGAATATCAAACGAAATTTTAACACTGGTATCATGGTATAGTTCGTTTTCTTCATAGATATTTTTTATTTTCCAAACTTTCGCAACTCAATTAAATGAAGCTCTTTCACATCATAACTATTTTGCTAGTCACTTTAAACGTAACTACTAAATATAATTGCATAATTTTCCCCATGATCATATAAACGCCTCAACCAAACTTCCTACTGACTCATTATAATCGCTTGTTGTATACATTAAGACGTTTGCTCCACCAGGCTTTTGAAATATTAAAATAATTTCATTAAAATTCTCCATCATGTACTGTTTACCCTTATAGTTTAAATTTTATATTTAGAATAGTTAGCAAATCCTAGCTAGTAATTGATGGATGGTGATGGTTAATAACAAGAATAACACATTTTTAGACTCATTTAACAGATACAGATTCATATAGATATCTTCGACCAGACTCCAAGTGAGAGGGTTGTTAATGTTAAGTACCCGGTAGCTCAGATTGATATGGGTGGAACGAGCTTTAAACCTGAGACTTAGATCGAACCCCGCCCAACAACTTTACTAAAATGAAAGCAATCGAGTACTTGTAATATTGGGTTAAATAAACTATTTGATGACTGAAAGGTAACAAATCTTACGGTGTTTTGATCCTATTACTGACTAAACTCGACCCACCAAGTCTGCGATCAAGTTATTCAGCTTACAGATTCGATGCTCAGATGCATGGGACGTAGGCTTCACGGTATTTTAATATAACCGTTAAGCAACAAATACTAGGCGCTAAGATATTTAACTTAGCTCAACACTTTCTAGCTCATACAAGTTCGATGCATAAAATTTGTGTACTAATGCAAGGTGATTGGAATGATAGTGAAAAATCACACATTTGGGTCGATTACCTGATATCTTTGCATAAAGTTTTGGTCGCAGGCTAGAACACCATGAAGGCAATATCCGCAAATACAACGGTTTTTCTAATGATATAAAAAAATTCAAAGCACATACTTTCATCATTTTTTTTCTGTACTTCAAACGTCGCTTCTCAATTCGTTCAGGCCTGTACCTGCCACCAGAGCTACTGCTGGAACTGCTGCTGCTACTACTGCTACTTCTCTTCCCATAACCTTTCTTCTTACCCATTTTGTTACAGTTTCTTATGGAAGTACGTTGAAGAAGACTAGAAAATGAAGACATGATGTACAAGAAACAAAGTTACTGACATAATAGATCATTTTCTATAATAAGTTAGTGTGGACATAAAAACCGATATTTAACGGTGGCTAGAGTATTTGGACTTCAAAAGATAGATCTAACGGCTGTAGGAAAAAAGCCATTGCTTTTATAGTACTCCCGGTGTGGAAATTAAGTCTAAGCCAAACACCAACACTTTTAGTAACAAAAACAATATGACAATTTTTAAGCCTAAGAAGTATCAATCAAATGAACGTGGAAATCTGTCCAGAAGCTAGAATAAGTTATGTGGCCTTAACATAGTAATTGACAATACAGATTCATTAAAATCACCTGACTAGTAGTGCAATACAACACTGAAAAAATTTCGCGCGTGGCGAGGTTAATACTTACAATTAGTCACCATATTGGAAAAAGATATATAATGAATGAAAAGCTTTCCATAGTACAAACCTATAGCTATAACATAACGAGCATCAATTATAATTTAAGAAACGACTTGTTTTACAGTACAGTGAATTATATAGGTTAAGAACATTCTTGATAACGGGGTGTTTCTCTAGGTGGACACTACTGAAGTAATAAAACTATGAACCATTGTAAATTGAAAAGCGGAATGTGATCATTATATTAAAAAGGAAACTTTGTGCTCAGTGAGATTAACTGAGGTCTTAGGTAGAATTTTGGGAACTGGACGTAATCCCATCTGACTGGTCTCAATCACTGATTGTGCCAGTCTATTAAAAAAGACAAAAGTCCTCTTGTGACAATCACAGAGGAGTCAGTCTGGCTAATATAGTGTTTAAAATATTAGCTTCAATAATACTTCGACGCCTAACTAAAGCTCGTGAAGAACAGACTAGAGAAAATCAGGCTGGTTTTCGACCTGGACGTGGTTGTATAGACCAGATATTCACACTACGTCAGGTTCTAGAACACAGACACACATTCAGAAGCCCCACAATGGTAGTATTTCTCGACCTCAAAGCAGCATCCGATTCTGTTGATCGTGAGGTTCTATGGCAGTGTTTGTCACTGAAAGGAGTACCAAAGAAGTACATTAACCTTGTAAAGGCTCTCTACTCGAACACAACTGGCCGAGCGAGGGCTTATGGCGAACTGTCATCAGAATTGATTACCTCAAGTGGTGTTCGTCACGGCTGTCCACTCTCTCCATTCTTGTTCAACTTTGCCGTTGACGTGCCTTTAAAGATAACACTTTTCACATCTGACTTTCCAGGGGTTGAACTTCTACCGGGTGATCCACTTGTTGACTTGGAATATGCCGATGACATAGTTCTGTTTGGTGAAGACGCTGACAAAATGCAGAGTCTTCTGACCACTGTAAGCAACAATGCAAGCATGTTTGGGATGCGATTCTCCCTCTCGAAATGCAAAATGTTGCTTCAGGATTGGGTTCCATCGACACCCGAACTAATGATAGGGAGTGAAGTAGTTGAGCGTGTCGACTGCTTCACTTATCTTGGGAGTCTGATCAGCATTTGTGGTCTGGTGTGTGACGGAATCTCAGCACGGATACAAAGAACTCGACTAGCATTTGCCAACTTGTGTCATTTATGGCGTAGGCGAGATATCCGTCTATCAACCAAAGGACGTGTTTACTGCGCAGCAGTTCGTTCCATCCTACTTCATGGCAGTGAAACATGGCCGGTAAGAGTAGAGGATATTCGTAGGTTAATAGTATTCGATCATAGATGTCTTCGAAACATTGCTCGTATATCCTGGGACCATCGAGTAAGTAACACAGTTGTTAGGAAACGGGTACTAAGTAAGGATGTCAAATCAATTGATGAAGTAATGAAACTTCATCAGTTGAGATGGATGGGACACATGTCACGTGTGTCCAACCACCGACTGCCTCGACGTCCTATGTTCAGTGGTATAGGAGTAGGTTGGAAGAAAGCTAGGGGCGGCCAGACCAAAATATGGCACAAATCCATGAAGTCACTGACAAGTGGACTGAGCCATGTTGGTAGGTGTAGACTACCTGGTTGGGGACCACGAGATGATAGCAACCGATGGTTAGAGACCCTGAATGACATGGCTCAAAATCGTTTGCAATGGTGCAGGTGCATACACTCTTTGTGTTCTCCCAAATTCTAGTCTGAATTCTTCATGTCCTTTATTTTCTTTCCAAATTTATTTCACTGAATTATACTCCTTGAATAAAATCTTCGAACCCTAATCTTTCCGATTACTGCTTATACTCTTACTAACTCTACCACTAGGGGATTTCAATCGATAACGGCATCTCTGTGCTAATGTGGTATGGCAACTCGAACTGATGTACGTAGGTACGAAGTTCTACATTGTTACCGACTGACTGACTTTCCAATTTGGAGTACGAGATTTTAACGCTCATAATATTTTGAAACCTTTGCGATGTTACCTAGACCACAAACTTTGTTTAACCGATAAACTAGAGTTGTCGAAATATGAGGAAAAAGCCACTGGCATTATAAAAATATAACTCCGGAAATTCAAGTACTCCAGACAATTTTTAGTGCATTGGATTGCTGCATTGAAGCTTAGAACTGTACGTCTGACCTCAGTTTTACTCACCCGGTGGGAACACCGAATGGGTGGAATGCTTTGAATACATTCACGATCAAGTACTTGAGGCCCATAAGTCTTCCACTTTTACAAGCTATACCTCGTGGGTGTAGAATTATACAAAGCGCGCTGTTGAACAATAAACTTAGCTCTCTAATGGTGAACGGATATCTCGCTTACAACACAGGCAATAAAAGCTGACAAGTTTCTAAGTCCGAGCCGAGACTTCATTAGTTATGAACTCAGCAAGGCCAGTAAGACAAATGAATCTGATAACTTTAAACCATATAATCAGATACGATATAACTCACTTGGTAATACAGAGTAGTGTAGTCGACCTTCAGAGGGGAGCTAATGATATTATGTAGCTACCAAAACCGAAGTGCAGCGGGATCTGAGATATAGTGGCCGATAGTCGAATCCCTATTCAAACTGAGTTGCGGAAATCTAAACCAAAAAGTGATTAAAATGAATAAATAACCAAGGGAGGATATTTATTTAGCAACAACTTCACGAATTCATTGTCTTAGCTTGAATGAAAATAAGTCAAGTATATTATACTCGATGTATAGAAAGCCTCATTTGGAATATAGAATTAAAGCACCGAATCGTGGCTTGAAATATTAAGTAGATATATTACAATAGGTTCAACAGTGACCTAATATCCGGAGACTGAAATAAAGTGGATGAACAATAGGGAATTTTTTTTATTTGAGCAACACATCAGACAGGTTCGTTACACTAGGAACTTTACTGGATCAGAGAGTTTATCTCCCTTAGGCAGCAAGGGTTAGTACCGAAGTTTCTTTTGAAAATAATGATAGGCTGCAACTCAGAACCGCCAAAACATCAACAGTATTAAATTCTTTTGTCAAATTTGTGTCTCCCACTTTAGTTCCTCTAAATGCAGTTATGGTCAGTCAAGAAGGTTACTATGAGCGATTGGACTACTTTTAACAGGGTTAAAAATAATCCGTCAGCGTTGAAAATGCTCAACTGCCTAGGTCTTGGGAGGAGCTCAGTTAATACACTAGTCATAAAAGCTGCTAATAAAATTGTCCAACCGGTCATTAAGAAACGTGAGAACTCGAACCACAATTCAACGGTGAAACACAAAGGACCCCAACCTCAACATAACAGTAAAGGTTAGTGATGATTCTTTAATAATCATGAAACTAAGAGACCACTCTGACCTTTATCTCAGTTTAAAGGGGAAAAACCAGAACTTAAGCAGGAAGCTCATGATTTTTTGAAACTGAACCACTAACGACCAAACGACTTACCCAAGGGTAGGAAACTAAGTAATTCCAAACCCTAAGTAACGCTCCCCATTGCTGACGATGCGGATGTTGTGCTGGCTAGTCACTTGCTAAATCCTCAGGGAGAACATGTGAATACTCCTAAATATGTAATATTCGCACTGCAATTTCATCAGGAATGGCCCTAAGGAATCTTGCGAATTCTTTCGCGGAAAGGACATTACTGTCAGAGGTATCCTAGAAAACATGGACCTCAATGATGAAGCATATCATATTCAAGAGTGGAAGTTTATAAAACAGTCATTGGTGTTCAAAAATATCTTAACTCAATAAGCAGTACTATTGGTTAAGGACAGGAATACTAGACCGTAGCTGCTCAAAATAGGGTTTTCTTCCTCTTAAATGCCGACTGTCACTTTTGAGACATTTCGATACCAGTTACCAACAGGAGTCTACATGCATCCGGACAGTCCCAACGATGCCGGTAGAAGAACAAACTCTAACTGCCCATTTCACTTGTGGAGTGTCAAGGACGAAATAAGGTGAAAGGGGCGGAGACTACGTATTCGTAAAGCCATATGTACGTATGTATCTTGTTCATTCATATAAAGCACGTCTAGACTAACAGAACCAAGATATGGGCTTCAAATCGAAAGCATTGACTCTATATACGAACGCCGCAAGTTTACCATACAAAATGGGTTACTACGTGGCTTTAAAATATTAAGTCCTCATACTGTTAAACTAGAACCATGTGTCTTTTAAGTCATTAACCTACTTCCTACTACAAAAAATTGGTTCAAGATTTCATTATTCTTATCACAGCTGGTAAACCCGTCATTACACTGCCAAGTTGTAATTTTTACTCGTAATGTTTATTTACGTAATCTATTTCACTGTTATCAATAACTCATAATTTACCTTAACTGGTTTAATACTTCGACATTTCCACATAGAAATTACGGTATAATAGAGTAAAGCATGAGGACCCAACGGAAAACAATATTGTTCGTTCGCATATGCCGTCTTAAGTTGGATGAGTTGTGAGAACTAAGTGATGCAAATAATACTAAGCTCAGTTCTTTAAGTTCATTGAGCAACTACGATTATTTGATGTGAAGTCAGCAACTAGGTGGAGAAATAGCTGCACGTTATCACAATTAGACTGCATCTTCACAAACGAAGAATTTATAGTTGATAATCTCTCAATCCTGACTCGCCTGGAGAAAAGGAACCACACCATCAGAGGAAACAGTCTTACTTACAGAACTGAACTAAAACACTCTTCTGGAAATGGGCGTTGAGGTTTCGGACACTTAACTTTAAAGAAAAATTTGCATCAGGTAAAGTGAAAGACCTACCCTCAATTCAACGTGGTTGCTTATTGGAATTTTTAATTAACATAAACTTACGTGCTACAAACCAGTCTGTTCCAAGAATGACACTCAAAAGCTATAAGCAGCTTTAAGTCACAAGGAATAGTATGTAAAATACGTAAAATATACTACTAGGAATACAAACGAACTAATGACGGTAGTACATATAGGCGGTCCAAACAAGCGAGTAACTAGAGGAAAAGGCTCCAAAACACCAGAAAAAGTTGATCGATAAACTTGTCTTCAATCCCAAAAACACTCCACCACGCAACATCTCTTCAGAAAGTCAAAGACCGAGTTCCCCAGTTGTTGAGTTCTAATGACCCAGCAAATAACAACAGTGATACCTTACCGCTCCTGAGAAAAATATTTTCAGGCATAACGACCATTACGCACGACTCACAACAACGAGGACCCCACCTGCAACTTAACATGAGTCTCCGAAGTGGACCCAAGGACAGAGCTAGCTTACCAGGTCACTTTAGCCTCGCTCAAAGACCGTCCATAAATTATAGTCTCACCGCGCCTTTATTCTTGGCAATGCGCTTTATTTCGGTGTCCTGTCAACTGCTAACCCAAGATGCAGTCAAAGGTAATCGGAAGTTGGTACTCACCACATCAATTTTCAACGGCAACTGATGCTATGAACCTTCAAATTGCCGTCTGGCGGCACTTCTTTTAGTACCCTCAAAGATTCTGGAGTCTCTGGTGTATGATGGCCTACGCGACTTGTTATCTAAAAACATTTTTCACTCTGACAGAACGGTTTGGGGAAGGGCCACCCCAAGATCATCAGTCTGCTGAATGCGATGAATATACGACCCGCCATCATCGACCTCAAAATAAAGTTGGTGTGATATACCTTGGTTTCTCGAAAGCTTTTTGGTTAAATTCTTTAGAAACCTCTATGCAAATACAAAATCCTAGTGAGAACAGGGACGGAGAATGTACATTAACACTACATTAATACTACTCCTTACCAAACCGGTTAAATATGACTGGTGACTTGACACCGCTGTCTAAGGATACGGGGCATGTACCTCGACCAGAGTATTTAAGCAAATGGAAAATAACTGACAAAGTAGTATGCTGGTCAAAAGATATAGAACTGAGTGTGTTTACGAAGGTTAGATTTTATCTCTTGGTCCCTCAACTTGGAACGATGTTTCTACGTTCTTGTCGTAGGTTAAGTATGTTAGTACTAGAAGCAGTTCTTGAACATAAGAGTACTGTAAGGAAAGCATAGGCTTCTACTGGAGATTACACTAACCCCGTCTGGATGTCCAGTGACATCTTCAGCAAAGAAAATGGGAAGTCAATACACTAGATAAGGCGCACCAGCATGGTGAGACAGGATAAATAGTTAGCGAAAAACCACTATAGATGAAGGGATTTTGTAGCCGCTTCACACGCCATGCGCGCTATCTAAAAAGGACAGTGGTATTGTTTCTCGTTAAATTTCTAAACTGTTTTGATCGTAAATTACGTATCAAAACTACGATTTACACTTTAATTGAATCTACTCCAGTTAAGGTGATTTTTTACTGAGTTTTTTTGGCTTTTGTGTATTTGTTACATTCGAAAGCATTCTTGGTCTTTATCAATTGATACTTTAAAGTACTTTAGTTAAGGTTTGACATCTTGCTAGAGTTTGTCTTGTGGTTCATACTGTGATCATATTGTATTACACCTTAATCAGACTAAAATGGTTGGTAGTACCCACAAATGTGGACAACCAAACTGTTTGTTCCCTGTGGAAGAGGGAATGCAGTGTGACGAATGCAATAAATGGTTTCACAAAATGTGCACCCGTTTAAGTCCCACTGCATATAAAAGATGTTCGAAGCCTAACTCACATTGGCTTTGCATGTTTTGCTATGCCAACAAGGCACTGCTAATACAGGAGGCTATGAGCCTATTGGCTTTGGCCTGTAAGAAGAATGATGGCATATGCGCCGACAACACGGGCACTGACAGTGACGAATGTGTCAGTGTTGTTACGCGACGCCTCAAACAACCGACTCTGACCGACGTAAAAGTGAAATCTTCGTTGATATTAACAGGGGGAGTAGTACCACCTAGTACTGACATTGTTAATAATGCACCTTTAGTGGGAACCGTAGATCTGGATAAAACAGTCACCTTTCCAAATAGTCCCAGTGTTATGAGGGATGAAAAATGGACTACGGTACGTAGGAAACGAAACGAAAAAAGCTGTAAGCAGTACACAGGCAGTTAGTAACTCACTGGTGGACTCAAATTGTGAGCCACAAATTGCAATACCAAGATCTGATCGTAAGAGTGAAACCCATCCTGGCGTAACTGAGAAGAAAAATATAATAACATCGAATATTATTGTGAGCAAATTGCGGGAGTCAAATGACCCTGATCCGAAAATTAGACACGCGCATGACTTAGAAAAGCTAGGAGAATACATTCGTAGTATTTTACCAGATAACTCCAAAGGAGTTCAGGTTAAAAAGTTGGTTAAAATAGGCAAGAGGACCGAGGACAATGTTGAACCCCGTCCATGCAGACTCCTTAAGGTTATCCTAGGATCGGAGAAGCAACGGGATCTCTTGTTAAGTAGTGCTCGTTGTCACGACAATTCTGACATCCGAGTTAGACCTGACATATCTCTCGAAGATAGAATAAAAAGGAAGAAAGCACTAGCTGAGCTTGAAACCCGTCGGCAAAACGGCGAGGAAAATCTCCGGCTAGTGGGTTTTCGGATAGTCAGGTCTTGGAAGCGAATGCTACCAAGGCCTGTGTGGATAGGCTGTTCTACCTAGGAGTTTTATATGCCAACGCTCGTAGTCTACGAAATAAGTTCTATGAACTAGAAGCACTTGTGGACAGATTAAAGCCACTCATTGTAGCAGTGACAGAAACTTGGTTAGTCGATGACTTAGACATTACTCCAGAATTATCCGGATACCATTGCATCAGGAGTGATAGACATAGATGTAGGAAAGGAGGCGGCGTCCTGTTATACATAGCCAATAGCATAAATATCCGCTCCTCTATTAGCGAATCCCATGATAGCGGCACTTGTGAAGTCATTAGCTGTAAGTTGGCTATAGGATGTAGTACATTTATGCTAGGTGTCATCTATCGCAGCCCAATCTGCCTAGCTGATGACTTTGTTTTAGAGCACATTCATCTTTGGAGTGAAAATACCAGATGTTTGATAATAGGAGACTTTAACGCACCTGATATTAGTTGGACTGATATGACCACAGAAGGATCTATAAACTCCTTTGATAGTAAGTTCCTGATGACAATAATGGAGCATGCACTAGTACAGCATGTATCCCAACCCACACGTTTTTGTGTTAACCAGGGTTCTTCTCTGCTGGATTTGGTAATCACTCATGAGACAGTATATTTTCGACTTAAATATTCTCCCGCCGTTAGTGAACAGCGATTCTGCTGTTTTGTCATTCACGTTTCGAACTAGGGACATGTTATACGATCAGGTTACACCTCGCTCAAATGTATGGAAAGCTAACATATCAGCCATTCAGGAATGTGCTGCTAAGACAGATTGGTTAGTAGATACTAGCATATCAGTTGAAGAAGCATGGTCTGTATTTAAAGGTAAATTTAGACTAGTTACGTCCCCGTTCATACCATACCTGGTATCGCGAAGACCGAATAATAGTCCACCATGGATAACTAAAACGGTCAGGAAACTCCTTAGAAAAAGGAAGAATCACTGGGATATGTTCATCTTTACTGGCTTAGAACAATACAGATCCAGTTACTGTAAGATTAGGAATGCCTATAAAGCGTTAATAAGTAAAACTAGACTATCATACGAAAAACAGTTGGTTAGGGATTCTAGATATAGTCCGAAACGGTTATTCTCGTATATAAAAAGGCGAACTAAGAGAAGTGATGGAATTCCATCACTTTTGATACGAGAAAATCCGTTAATCTTAGCAGAGAATGATGCCGAAAAAGCGGAAGCTTTATCGGAATACTTTAGTAAAGTGTTTTCTATCGGTAATGAGGAACGACCAATGATTCGTCGCGACCGTGACGGCTCGCTGATGGATCCTGTAGTCATTGAGAAAGATACTGTTTTAAGGCTACTTCAGCATCTCAAACCTGATAAGTCCAGTGGTCCCGATGATATTCATCCTAGGATTATGAAAGCCATATCAGATGAAATTGCTGAACCATTAGCGATACTATTCGACATGTCTCTGAGACAGTCCAGATTCCCAGAGACTGGAAAGACGCCATAGTAAGTCCGGTGTATAAGGCTGGGAGTAGGGATCTAGTTAGTAACTATAGACCCGTTAGCTTAACTAGTGCAGTTGTGAAATTGATGGAGAAAATCATTCGGATAGCTGTTATAAACTATGTTGAAGGGCAAAATCTTTTCTCCAGGGCACAACATGGTTTTCGGAAAAGCCTATCTTGCTTGACAAATCTTCTCATTGCACGAGAAGAGTGGGCTGCGGCAAAGGATCGGAATGCTCCTGTGGATGTAATTTTCACAGATCTAAGTCAGTCAGTCAGTCAGTAACAACGTAGAACTTCGTACGTACGTACATCAGTTCGAGTTGCCACACCACATTAGCACAGAGATGCAGTTGTCGATTCAAATCCCATAGTGGTAGAGTTAGTAAGAGTATAAGCAGTAATCGGGAAGATTAGGGTTTGGATATGTTATTTAAAGAGTATAATCCAGTGAAATAAATTTAGAAAGAGGAAAAACGGACATGAAGAATTCAGAAGATTAGAATTTGAGAGAACACAGAGAGTGGATGCACCTGCGCCATTGCAAACGATTTTGAGCCATGTCATTCAGGGTCTCTAACCATCGGTTGCTATCATCTTGATAAGGTTTCACACTCTGGTCTTAAATTCAAGCTGAAACGTTTTGGAATCCATAACACAGTCGTCGATTGGATAAGTAACTTTCTCCATGACAGGAGACAAAGGGTAAGGGTTAATGGGGCTCTCTCCTCGTGGGTACCTGTAAAAAGTGGGGTCCCCCAAGGTACAATCCTAGGTCCTCTTCTCTTTTTACTTTATGTAAATGAATTGCCAACTGTAGCAAAATCACCCGTTCTACTCTTCGCTGATGACATAAAGATTTGGAGACCCATACATAGCATGTCGGATAGGATAGTATTACAGGACGATCTTAGCTCATTGGTGGCATGGTTAGATAGGTGGTCACTAGAAGTAAATCCTAATAAGAGTGTAGTGATGCAGTTAAATAACTCTGATGAATCGTATGACTATACACTACGTGGATTCGTGCTATCTAAGGTAAGAAACTATAAAGATTTAGGAGTCATATTAAGCAATGATCTCAAAACGACTAGTCACTGTAAGGCTGCTGCTGCGAAAGGCTATAGGGTATTATGGTCAATTTGTAGGTCTTTCCAGTATTTAGATGATGAAATGTTTAGATTACTATACCCGATTTATGTGCCACCACATTTAGAATACGGGATTCAAGCAGCGTGTCCTTGTTTCAAATATGAAGATATGCTAGAAAGAGTCCAACGACGAGCTACTAAGATGGTACAACGTCTATCTGGCCTATCTTATGAAGACAGACTGAGACACCTTAACTTATTTCCGTTATCTTACCGTAGAATAAGGGGTGATCTAATATTGGCCTATCGTATACTGAACGATGACCTTGGTATTAACATGTCTTATCTTTTGCTTCCGTCTAGGACTGATCATTTGAGAGGACATTCGAAGAAAGTTCAAAAACCGAGATCAAACCGTTTACGTTTGGAGTTCCGTTTCTCGCACCGAGTAGTGAATTACTGGAATTCTCTACCGGAACACGTAATATCAGCTCCATCTGTTAATATATTCAAAACGAGATTGGACCTCCACAGTATTACAAACTGCAAGGATTATTATAAGTCGACAGACCTTCTATCCTTATTACTGAAGACTGAATCCAGTAGGACTTACCAGTAGCAACACCGTCAGATGACCTGGCAGTTCAAGGCCGTTGACCTCCAAAATCCAAAACTTTTTTAACAAGCCCGTATAAAACGTCTCATTTATTTGTGCTCTCCTTTTGTTGTTTCAGTACGGTTTCAGGTATCAGGTAATGTCCGATGGGTGAAAATTCAGCAATAAGTCCAGTCAGTTTGGCATTCATTCGTGGGCTTGTTTATGTAGCGATTCGAAAGTGTTTGCCTTTTAGTGGCCATACATCTGAATCCGATTATATTGTATGTTGATTGGTATTGAATTATACATCCTGGCTACCCTCGTATATCATTATCAACCTAACTCGCGTTACTTACAGGTGATGAGTAGGATAAGATGTGTACACGCAAACTCTCATCCAGAAACAGTCAGAATAAATAAGCCAAATATAATAAGATGTGTGGGGTTAGCATAGCATATGACGTTACATTACACAGTCTCATGTAAGCAGTGATTCTAAATATAAAAAGCTGTCGCATTAACAGGCAGGGTGTTGGTTATTTGCTATTCGGGAAGTAATAAAGTGATTCTTGAGTGCTAGATGACTGTTTCAAGAAATAAATGGATACGTTAATTAATTAGTAATTTATATAGTGTAAGTAGACCGAATTGTTAGGATAAGGGGGAAAACGAGGATGATGATAATAGGCGATATAAATATACACAGTTATGATAGCGGTGGGTAAATTGTGAGACAACTCATCGAGACCCGTCGATCTACTCCGGATGACCGTGAGTCTGACTACAAACGACGATGGTTAAGTAATGGAATTGGGCAAAGATTGCATAAGGACCGAGAAGCCTGGTAGTCGGAGCGTGCTAATGGGTTGGAAGCAGCACTTGCATCTGGTAACTACCGGAAGCTCTTACAACTCATCCGAGCCACTATCAGCAAGAAGTCTGGTGTGAGCGAAACAATCTGTGAGAATGACGGGATGCCAATCACTAACATCCATCGACGTCTTGGACGATGGGCAGAATTTTTCGAAGGGCAGTTCAACTGGCCTGCTGCTCCGGCAACATCGGTCAGACTGTCCTGCCCTCCACGGCCTGCGACGACTGATCCACCAATTGAAGTGGAAGTCCAACTCTTGGAGCGCCCCATAT